GAAGCCTTAACTTCTATAAACTAATCATGATAAGTTTTTGGAAGGGCATAACCTCTCCCATGTCTTGAGATAAAGGATCATTTTTTTGGGTCGAGCTCGTCGCACTGAGCTTGCCTAGTGCGGGTTACCTCTTCTGTGTGGTTTGCGAGCTATTGCATAGGTGCAGGGTTTTTACCTTGTGCGCACCCAAAGGGTAGTGGCTACGGGTTTCCCTTGTAATAAAAAAAATAAAGGATCATTTTTCTTTTTATTTCATTGTCACATTTAGCCGCCAAAAAAACTGCAATCTTTGTCATATACTGCATCTCACTGAGCGTCATTGGATTTTGATTCTTATATGACACCTTTGCATTCTCACAATGTGCCACTGTTAATGTGGTTATTCTTAATTATTAACTCCCAAAGACTAATATTGATCCTCAAACACATCACCTTATGGATTGGATGGGAAGTTTTTGCTTTTGGAAATACTAAATAAAAAAGGTGCTTAATCTCGAAAGCGTATGTTGCACCTAATTGTGTAGCAGAGCTGCATCTTTCAACCATTATCAACTACATACATGTGAAAAAAAAACTATGTTCTGATATGACAATGCTTCTCCGTGATACATTTCTTGCTACTCTTCCCCCTCTTTATAAGTGGGACATAGTGTTGTTTTGCAAAAGGATGCTACAAGGAAGTCCAAGTATGTATGAAAGCTACAAGTGAATCAACCTTGTAGCTTCAATAATATCATTCACTCTCTTTTATAAGTTTGAAGGAACCATGTCAAACAGTGAATTGCCGTCATTCCTTATGGGCATTTCCAATCTTACATCCATTTGTAGCAAGAAGAAATGTCTTTAATAGACGGAGACTTTACCCATTAAAAGAATTATCTATCTGCTACATTGTTTTTCCTCGTAGTCAGGGACTTATTTATTACATAATTAGTTCTTGCATATACTTTTACATGATGCATCAAATGTTGTGTAATCCTTTTCTGGCTGACTTGATTCCCTGCATTGTGATGATAGTATTGGTTAATGGGCTGTAATGAGAGATCACCTATCTTATAAGTTTTGTACTTAACATGGGAATATATCTGTATTGCTGCTTTACGGAGGTGAGAATATGTTTTAACTTTTTTTTCTGTTACTAGGGATTATGCCTATAAAGGTGCTTGTTATCATTATTCAATTTACATTTATGATTCTGGGATCAATTTTTTTCATCTTGTTTTCAGTAATTTGTCCAAAATATTTAATTGATTGCGCCACAGCCCACAGTATCTCATTCCCTTCTTACTTCTTCACAGTGCTGATGTTTCTCCTTTGTGTTTGTTATATCTCCAGACCATGAGGAAAACAAAATATCTATCAAGTTCCTTTTATCGAATGCTGAGGCTGGTTCAATTATTGGAAAGGGCGGCTCGACAATCAGTGACTTTCAGGCTCGTTCTGGGGCAAGAATTCAGTTGTCACGCAACAACGAATTTTTCCCTGGTACCATGGATAGGATTGTAATGGTATCTGGGTCGATTGATGATGTACTCAAGGCAGTTGATCTTATTCTTAATAAGCTACTGGATGAGGTAATATCATGTCTAAAATCCCATTCTGTGTACTGTTATTGACAGATGCCTTGAAAAAACTGTCTTTTCCAATTCAGAGTTATGTTGAAGATGGTGGTGATGTTGGCCCGCGATCAAAAGTTAGACTAGTTGTGCCCAACAGCTCTTGTGGTGGAATTATCGGGAAGGGAGGATCTGTGATAAAGTATGAATCTTTCCTCATTATATGTCCTAAAAGCCCCCCCCCCCCCATCCCCCAAAATACACTGCTCCTGAAAATGCATGCAGGTTTCATTGTATCATTACTCATTTAAGATAACTAGCTCTTCTTCCAAGCAAAGTATTGCTGATTCTAAGATACCTGGTTTTGGTACTGATCATGTTAACTAGTTTCTGTGATGTGATCAATCAGAATTTGCTGTTTTATAGAGTATGGAATGACACAGTCTTGTGCTGGAATGAGTTAGCTGACTTTGCCTTTTCCATTTTTCATTTTTAAGTTTCTGACTGGAAGTTCGATCAACTGCATGAGCTTTGCATCCTAGTTTATTACCGCTTTAAATCAAATTGTGTATGCCATTAGACTGGGTTCCTTGTCCCATTTGAATATTTGAACTCATTCACTTTTAAACTTAGTCTTCATGGTTGAACTCTCTGGGTTAATGCGTTGGTACCCCATCCCACATCAGGATGTTGTCAATGTGTAACATGTGAGTCTGGTGGGAATAAATGCTTAGAGTTGTTTGTTATTTTATTGTGCTTATGGGTTTATTGTTCAGGGAGGTTCCTATTTACCACAGATATTCAAAACCTAGGTCATCAAGGGTCCACAAGAAAAGTTAGGATAATAACCATACAGTTCATCTGCAAATTGAGGGAATACAGTGATATCAAAGGTGATGAGCAACAAGAAGTGCTGAAATTATTGGAGCGTCAAGAGCAAACACAAATAAAGCATGAGTTTTATGTACAGGAAAGGGAAAGATAAAAATCTATATGTAGTTCAAGAATGATAGCTATAAACCATAATATAGACAGAAAAATTGAAAAAATTAGAGTATGGTAAAAAAGGTGAAATATATATTGTTTAGTGTCCCTCTATTCAAGGAAAAAACAGAGTAATAAGGTTTGTACCTTGGTGCTTTTGTCCTGCAATGAAGCAATACTTGTGCGACTGAAAATGCACATCATATTTTGCTCTAGCTTTAGGGATTAAGTGCATCTCAAACGCCTCTTTGACAACACTGACTATCATATAATGGAGTTGTAAATTGCAACTATTGTGTGAAAGTTCATTTTGAACTTCATCTGCAACCAAAATCATATAAAGGAAACACATTTTACTAAATTTCCAAATACAATTTAAAATGCAGAACAAAAATGGTCGACAAAATCATCAGATTAACATAGATAGTTTTCTTTTACAGGTCATTTATTGAAGACTCTCGGGCTGGCATAAAAATATTACCTCAGGATGAGAACTTTCCAGGACTGCATGATAGGATAGTAATAGTGATTGGAACTCTAGGGGAGCAGATGCGGGCTATTGAATTGATTCTATATAAGTTGGCTGAAGACACTCATTATGTACAGAACATGAATGCTCCATTTCCTTATGCAGGTATTATTCAAATTTAATTAATTTGTAATACTTACATTTAAGTAATAGATCGGGAGGAATATGATCTGCTCTGTCTTAATCATTTTCTGTGCTTGTGCAATTCTTTTGGTATTGATTCATACAGGACCTGAGGTTACATGAATGGATGAGTGGAGGGAATTCATTACTTGTTTCTTGTCTGTCATACTTTCTACAACATTTATGACCATATCTTTAGTAATGTTCTCCAAGCTATTAGGTGTTATATTTAGGAGATCATCGTAGTAGTTGATTCTGCCATCTTAAAGTTGTTTTTTAACGTCATATTCTGATTCCTAGTTCTACTTCTACTGCTTCCTATTTCTTAGCAGCTTATCTTGGAATGAACTATGGACCACCGAATGGAATTGGAGGGAGATATCCAAATAACAGATATCAGAACAAGATGGAGCCTAATTCTGTGAGGACATCATGTTTTTGCCCCTTGTGCTTGTGACTGGATTTCAACTCCGTTTTGTTTGAATTCAACTTATTCTTTGTATTGGCTTTGAAGCTGATAATGGCATGCTCTTATCATGTTCCTAAATAAGATTATGCCTTCTTCTTTAGAACTGACAGATTTTGTTATCAGTTTTTTGACCTGCGCCTACTTTGGTGGTTTTGCAGGAAGATGGGAACAATTCTGTCACTATTGGTGTTGCTGATGAGCGTATTGGTTTGGTGCTTGGCCGGAATGGAAGGAGTGTAATGGAGATAAGTCAGGTTAGTAAAGAAGTTGCAATCTTTTCCCTGCTTGTATATGTTCTAAGGGGTCATTTGGTTTAGAAACAAGTTATGCAAGGATTGCAATACATGGATTAGTAGTGCAGAGATCATTTTTCATCGGACATTTGGTTCTTTATACTGAAAAGAGGATATATAGGATTAGCTATTCAAGATTCAAAATACAAACCAAACACGCAATACAGAATACAAAACTGTATACCATGATTATTTCATCTTATAACTCAAACCAAATGAGTCCAATTAAGTATCTTCTGTCTTTCCAGGTAAGTGGAGCTAGAATAAAGATATCAGATAGGGGTGATTTCATGTCCGGCACTTCTGACAGGTAAGCTTTCCTGGATTTCTTTGTTCCATTTGTCTTGAGGATTTGTGAAGTATATCGTTACATTGCTCAGACTCTTCAAAAATATTACCGGATGCGTGTCTAATCCTTCAAAAGTAGTCATTTTTGGAGGATCTTACACAGGGTGGGGCAGCAATTTGAAAAGTCCGAGCAACATAAGACTATAAAGATAAATAATTTCTGGACTTTTACAGGAAAGTGACTATTACCGGATCTCAAAGAGCTATCAGCATAGCCGAGTCTATGATATCTAAGAAAGTAGCAACAGTTACTGAGAGGTGGGTGACCTGATGGATTTCGATTTCTTAATTTTTCATTTATGATTTTCGTAACGTATCATCTGAAATTTCATATTAATGTGTTGATTATGGAATTATTTTCACATTTCTGTAGTTGATGAGTTTGTGAAATCACTGATCCCATATTGGCCAGAAGAGGAGAAGTTTCAAGTAAAGTCTTTGATCATTTGAACCAGAAATTTGAGGCAATAGAACTATATTCCAATTGATTCAATTGACTGAATATATGCTCATTTTATACAGTTGTAATTTTTAAGTAGGTAAAACATTAAATTGAAAATTGTGATTTTTATTGGATATTGACATTATTTTTGTTCCTTTATCATGTCTTGTAGAATATAAATGGTCATTTTCATCAATATCAGCAACAATATATATGAGTCAAAAAAATGTTAGAACAAAAACGATCTTTCTAAAGTTTAAAGGGCAGCATATCGATGATCAATCAGCTGCGAAGCGATGAGCCCTTTAACAGTGAAGGCTAAAGAAAAGATTGAATCATTCATGCATCCGTTTGGCTCCATGCGGAGTATAGCTCACATCCAAACATCTGATTGAGAAATGGGACATGCCCTTATGGAAGTCAAGTAGTTCGTGACTGACTAGCCAATGCTTCTATGTGTACGTTAGTTAGTCGGAGTAAATAATATGAAATTAAAAGTTAAGAGAGGTTAAAGGAAAATTATGGTATAAAACATGCAAAAATAATATATTACATGCAAATATAATATTATAAAATTAAACATGAAAAATTCATTACATGCATCCATGCAAAGTTTCAGAAACCACATAAATAAGGTGAGTTATTTATTTCACAAACTTCCTAATTTGCATAAGCAAATCATCTAATATACTTCAAGGTTCATCCCCTCCATATCCTCCATTTCCTCCTCCATACCCTGATCCATAGCCGGAGCCACTACCATATCCTGAACCATTGCCGCCACCTCCACCACCTCCTCCTCCACCACCGCCACCACCACCACCACCACCACCACCGCCGCCACTTCCACCACCACTTCCATAACCAGAACCACTTCCACTTCCATAACCAGAACCATTTCCTGAGCCACCTCCACCCCCACCACCTTGGCCACCACCGCCACCACCACCACCGCCACTTCCACCACCACTTCCATAACCAGAACCACTTCCACTTCCATAACCAGAACCATTTCCTGAGCCACCTCCACCCCCACCACCTTGGCCACCACCGCCACCACCACCACCGCCCCTACCTATTCCTCCACCTGATCCATACCCTGACCCTGATCCTGAGCCATATCCAGAGCCACTACCTCTTCCTGAATTCCCCCCACCGCCGCCTCCACCACCACCACCACCACCTCCACCTCCACCACCACCTCCGCTACTCCCAAACACATCATTACCCTCACCATACCCATAGCCTTCCCCAGAGCCATACCCTGAACCATAACCTGACCCCACCCCCAATGCTGACCCTCCACCACCACCTCCCCCTCCACCTCCACCGCCACCTCCTCTACCATAAAATCTTGCACCAAAAGCAAGATCCACAAAGAGCAATGCCAATAATATTGCAACTCCAATAAGTTTGGAATGCACCATTATATTAACTCCAAACTTCCAAAATGCAAGACTTATATTATATATATATAAAGTACAATAGTACTAAACAAGCTGTACTTGTGTTTATGAAAATATTTGTAAGGAAAGTGTCACTTGCCAAGAAAATAAATACTTATGATTGTGAATGACATAGAGTAAGGTTAGTGTTGCTATTTATAGGCACTCAAAATCCAACTTTTATAAGTTGCATGGTTTTCTAGTAGCCTCTTAAAGAGTAATATTTTAACGGAAGAGGAAATTAAATATGAACATGTTGATTGGAGTTAGTGGTGTTGGTAGTGTATGTGGCAATATTTTATGATAAAGTATATAAAAACTTATCATGATGAGGTTGTAAGTGGTGGCCCTTCATCTAGCTTCATGCAAAATTATATCGAGGGTTTAAGTTACATATAATTTCAACGAGATTTTAAGTTTATAAGTTTTGAATTCTATGATAGAATAACGAGTAAGTTCATGACAAATACTTTATATGCTATTGATTCTGTCAAATCTGTAACTTGTGGTGAAACTATACTTCTGATCAGTTAGATTTTCTTCATACAATATCGATAAATTTTAACATGTGCATATCATGATAAGTTGATTAGTATTTTTATCAATCGATTAATGTTTATCAAGAAATGTATCTATAATGATGTCTAAATAGACGACCTAATTATGTAAATATTTTTTACATGGTTGGTGCATAATATTTAAAACTCATATTTATTTATATTTATATTTTTTTTTATATATATTATAGATACAGTTTGCTCCTACTTTATATTTTAGGCTTGATGAATTTCCACTCTGTCATTTTATGTTCTCACTTGACTACAAATTTGAGTGACTTCCATATGTGTTAGGTGTACATATTCCATCATCTAGTATAGTTTACTTAAGAAATATTTTCCTTCGAGTTTTATATAATGATAATATAAAAATTATATGTATTTTTTATTGTGGATTTTGATTGACTAAATGTGTAATATTTTATGATGATTTTTACCATACAATAATAAATCTGAATGTTTTCACCTAAGCAACGTTATATTAGTATCTGAGAATTTGAGATGAGTTTAAATGAGAAATAATATAAATATAGTAAGGTTTCATATGTAACAAATACCAAATAATTTGGAATAAAGATCTATTGTTATAATTATCGATATAATAGCATAGGCCCCATTTGGGGGGGAGCGCTTCCTATTAAGGATTTTTTTATAACCAGGTTCAAATCCGAGATTCCTAATTAAGAGAGGTGTAACCTTATCAGTTGCACCACGTCTTGTCAACGGTGACAAGAAAGGATTACTAGAAGGTCTTCAACATATGTTGCCTTTTGATTGGATATAGGCATAATAGACATGCAATTTATAGGAACTCCTAAGGCACCAATGAAGACCACCAATTAAAATAGTCCACTAACTCACCTATTCTTTGTTTGTCATTCGGTGTTTGATATTTATATTAGAACTTCAACTAATATAAATTTACACCATGTAATTTATTAAAAGGCAATATATCTTACCAATATTTTTCTATACATAAAAATTTAAACTTGAGATCTTTAATAAAAGTTAAAGGAATCCTATTCATCTTACCATAACCCTTAATTTATAGCAACTATCAAGATCAATAAGTTTTAATTGTTGTTTTAGCTTATATGTGGTAGACTATTAACCCTTGTGATAAATAGTGCTTCAATGGGCCAATATGAAAAGGAAAGGAATATATATTCTAAATTTGATTGAATACCAAGAAAGCGACAAAGTCAGAATTTTTAATAAGAGAATCCAAAATGTAAAAAAATAAACACATGACTAAATCAATATACATATGTTTTTTTTTTAAAAAAAAATTATCCACAGTATAATTTTTCGATAAAGGAGTATCAGTTAACTATATATGTAGCCATTTGGTTGGACATAGACTTAGAAATGCAATTTTTTTGACAACTCCAAAGAACCAATGAAGACCACAAATTAAAATAGGCACTAAGTCACCTACACTCTTAAATTCCTTTTCATCAAAATATGTATATAGTGGGGAGTGGAGGAAAAAATGGAAGTTTCTTCTCTTTATCTTTGAATGACAAATGTCATGTTTTTCTTTGCTTTGCTTTGGTGGCCATATGCATAGAACACACTTTGCTTTCACTTTGAAAACTCAAACTTTGCTTTCTCTTATAAACTCAATCATAACACATTTGACACAAAATTCAACTATCCAAGTCTTTGTAGTGCTCTTTCCCTTTTTATTTACTTTAAAATACAAACATGATGTTGGAATTATCTTACGCGTAGTAAGATAAAAATAGAACTTTAGATGGAAAGATTTAAAAAGAAACTATAGTGTCAAAAGTATTCAACTATCCAAGTCTTTGTAGTGCTCTTTCCCTTTTTATTTACTTTAAAATACAAATATGATGTTGGAATCATCTTACGCGTAGTAAGATAAAAATAGAACTTTAGATGGAAAGATTTAAAAAGAAACTATAGTGTCAAAGGTTGAACGTGTGCACTTAATGTTACTCTTATCTTATTTTTATATATTTTTCTTCTTTTTTCCTTTTGATATTGACTTGATAAATCATATATTACTATAAGTCATTAGTAATATTAAAAAATCCATTATGAATCTTCAGCATATTAATGTCCAACAAAAGGGGCAATTTGGAATAAGTGCTAAGTGAAATTAGTTGGTCAAATTGGAAACTCTGATTAAGTAAACTTTCTTAGTGCTCAATTTGGAATTCAAATTGTGTCTCTAATTCATTGCACTAAAAGATCAGCACTACAAGTAAATCAAGATTTGATAAGATAGATAAAATGAAGATAATATAAAGTCTTCGCCCATCCTTTAAAACCTTGTGAACAATTGAACAACACAGGTAAATTTCATTTATCCTGAAATCACATGTGAACGATTTGTACAAATTACGACCACCCTTGTAACTTATCAACAATTTAGCTTAGTGAAATCTGAAGAGGGTAGTGCGTATGCATCCTTGCCCCTACCTTGTGAATGTAGAGAGGTTGTTTCAATAAAACATAATAACAAGTAACAACATGAGACAGAAACAACATGAAAACTAATAAGATCAGCCAAAAAGACAATGGCACTACATAAAATCATCACAGTACTTAATTGTTGTGTAAAATGAGTTTTGCAGCTTCCAAGCTGCACTGTGATGCATCACTGAATTTTAAAATTTGTTCAGGAGTCAGAAACTGCATCAACTCACTTGAATGTCTAAACACTAAAATATTCCTGGTATAGGTTGTGTATCATATATAATAATGTTCACTTCAGCCAGAGATCAAGATAACCTGCCATGACTTTCAAAAGTAAAAACTAGTTTTGAGCCCCTTCTTTATTGAGCTCTCTAGATTCTTGAGGCATTACGTGGCACGAATTAAGGTCCCAACTTTGAAGGTTGTGGAAAGAATGAGGACCCAAAGGAACAGATAATAGAACCAGCACCAGGATGCTGTTGAAATTGTCTTCCCAGGAAGAAAACTAACTGCTGATTCCAAGTGAGCGGAGCTATCACCATGCTGTGATAAGCCTAAAGATAGGATAACGTTGTAATTCCCATGCTTACCCACCAACTCGTCCATCCCATTGCCACTCATAGTCATGTTTGTTATTTGAATAAAACCAGTGACGTGGATTGAACTGGATGCTTCTGAGGAAGAATTCATACGGAGAGCTGCACTTTTTGAAGGGAACTCTGAAGCAAATGCAGGTGGAGCAGGTATACCGCCCAACATGCAGCTTGCCTGCTTCATAAATGGATACTTATAATCTGCACCATCGAAAAATATGTTAATTAAGTTAAAAAATGTTATCTTAAGAAACAGAATTGTTGGTTTAACTGAAATTCGTGTTGAGCAAATCTTCAGCATAGAGTCCGAAAAGAACCCTTATCACTACCTGATCCAAATTTAGATGGTTCCAGTTTTGAGGATGATGCAACATTCTTCTTTTGATCCTCCGGCTCTTCACTTGGTGCAATTGGTTGGTCATTTACCTCGCCAATGTTCTGTCATGAAAGTAATTAGCTAAGATTCAAGAAGACCAGAACATGACAAGTACAAGAAGTGGAGTCGGTAAGTAACGTTACCTTCTCCTCCGGAGATGCTAAGTCAGACACATGATCATCACCTTCGGTCATCATTGGTGGATTGAAACCCATACTTTGGAAGTTATCGTCTGCATCAAAGAATGTAAGGTAATCCTCAAGCATGTCAAAACCTGACGTATCAACCTCAATGGGTCTTGAAAGATCACTAGCTTCAAGGAATGCTCCATCACTGAATTGAAGGTTATCAGTTGCAGTTACAACTGGTTCATCAAGCAAGTAATCCACATCTTCAGTGTTCATACTATTGCTTGGTTCACTCATGAATTCATGCTTGACAGGATTTGTATCTGCATTGATCTGTTGAATCGCAGGATCAAATGATTCCTGCTCATCCGGTTGCTGAAGCCAGTTCTGTGCTTCTTCAAAGGAGTTACTTATTTCCCCACTGTTGCTAGCATTTCCCTCGCTATAGCAGTTCAAAGGAAGTGGAGCACCATCCACAGGTGAGTCAGCCCCAAGAATCTGATGCAAGAGAAACATGCACCAAAATGAGAAGATACATCTCACCTCTATCCAAAATAGATAGCAAATTTATCTAAATATAAACAGGAAACGGGCTGCTAGCCTTGTTTTCTTTTATTTTGAGGTAGAGACAGGATGGCTCAAGATATAGAATCCAAAAGCTTCATCAACTCAGACTATGCAGAATTGATAATGAGAAATATCCATTGTTACTCAGGTTGGTGTCAAAGACACCATAATAGAGTAACTTCTAGGATGAATCACTATTTCCTATCAACATCCACATTTCATGGACATAAACCAAATCCCTAAGCAGATGTATAAGATGATTTTCAATAAGTGACTAATGATTAGCCCTCTTTTAAAATCAGATTGGCATATACTA